TTGGGGTACTCGCATAAGCCGCTCCTGCAACCATTAGATCCCGCGCTCGCAAAATCTTGTCGCTGCCCGCACGGTTTATGACATATGTCTGCAATGAGTTAGCCTCCAGCCATGCTGTGAGGTTGGCAACATCAACAGCGGTTTGCGGACTGGTGTGCGAGACACCGTGGTGTGGGATCTTGAACTGGCTCTGCACGTTTCGCATAACGTCCCGTAGGTTGAAAATGACAACAGTGACCATGCTGAGCCATTCCCAACTTCGATTCGAACCACGAGCGTTGTAAATAACCTGCGGAAAAGTTAAGGCACGCCGACACGGTGCTGGGGAAAAAATATACCTTCGCCCAGAAGTTTTGATGCTCTTGCAAAAGGTCAACTTCTTTGAACGCCTTGATTTTGCCGGTGAGATTTACGAGCCAGTTGTTCAAGTATGCCTCTCTAAAATTCATGTCAGCAACAACAAGACAAAGAAGACACAGTGGACTACCGTAATTGCGGAGGCCAGCGCTTCAGATTATTTATGAGTTCGAATAATGCATCTGCGTACTTGGGCATAGACCCCGTTCCGCGGAACATGACCATCCAGTGCGCCAGAATGTTGAGAACGGTACCGACGTCGCCGCTTTTGATAGATGTGGTGAATAGCAACAAAAGGAGCATGTCGTGGTTACAGAGGATGGTGTTCTCGAGCTGTGGATCGCGCTCAGCCTCGGGCTTAAGCCTTAACTCTTCCACCGTGCTTGCAGAACAGAGTTTTTGAACCACCACTTCGGATACTGACACAATCGACTCCCAAGATGGATCTGAATCAACCCATGCTTCGAGCGATTCGGCCCCACAATAGATACGGAAACCATCGAGGATATGAGCGGGTAGGGAAAGATTGAGCATTAGCTCGTGAGATGGCCGAAAGGGAGCGAGTTTTTTCGATTTCCAGCCGCCGGGGATGGCTTTGCGAGCGAGGAAGGCATTTTGGGACCAAAGAGAGCCCGGAAATTTTGAATTCGGCTCTCCCCAGTGCTCGTTAAGGGTGCCTCGAGTACCCGATAGTTTCACATGGAATAATCCGAGCATTCCCTTGAGGTACGAGCCGTATCGGTCCAGTAGATTGGTATCCTCGCGCCGAGCTGCTATGGCCTGAAAAGAAATAAATTAATACATTGCAGGCCTGGTGAGGGGAGAGACGTACCTTGTCTGTTAAGGAAAGGCTTAGGAGGTCACCACCGGCAAACATAACACCGTGCTCGCGCATTCCGGCATTATCGAGTCGCAAAGTGCGAATGATCAAGGTGTCAATCACGTCGATGGTTCCATCGAGACTCGACTCGTCGATTTTCATCGCGGGTGTCGGGAGCTGGACTGTTTGGTGAAGTGGTATCGCTTTAACTACAGGTACATCTCCATGCTCCTTCTGGAACTTAGCCCCCAGTTTTGGAAACCATTCAAGAAGAATTCGGCGTATGTGCCAAAGCGAAGAGTTTCGAGCCTGGATAATTTGTTCTGCACTCGGAAGTGTATCCATGGGTTCGAAATCGATAACTGGCTTCCGAGTAATACGAGGCTCCAGAAGTTCCAACTCTAGTTCGCCGCGAAGCACGCCGTACAAAAGGATAAGGGTGCCGGTTGTCCCGTTTTCGAACGAGTCTTTAGAGTTATGCCGTTGCTCGGAGACTTTGAAAGCGATGTTCAGGTTGTCCCACACGATCATGCAGGCCTTCTCCTGAACCATCCGACGAAGGCGAGCCAATCCCTCCGCCGAAAGCCCTTTGAGATCGTTGATGGCCTTGCTGTACGAGACGGTCAAGCCGGCGTGGGCTAAAACATCGAACTGTCGACGGGGTGTGCTGCACGCGAGGAAATATGTGCCCATAATCTCTTGGAATTCATTCGCGCGCTCGTTCTGCGACTGGGCGAGCATGCACAACACGGTCACGAGAACCTAGCGGCATTATGTACAGCGCGTGAGAATTGGAAGTAAACAAGCTGCCAACGAGATTACATACCAGTTTGTTGTCTTGTCTTCCCACCTCACTCGTCATGCCCATGAGCATGAGCAGCTCGCAAAGGTTCGGCGCGGCCACTGTCGCCTCCGCAATCATCCTCTCCAGTGACCAGGTCTTCAGCCGGGATGTATACGTCTGTGTGGAATCTGGTCGAAGCAAGTCCGACAAACTCCTGCCCTCGGCGGCGATAATAGGTAAGGTGGTTTTGAGGGCCCACCGCTCTACGATGTCGGGTCGTTTGGCATGCATAAGGTCCAAAAAATCGGTGCCATGGTCATTCATCAGACGTGATGCTTGCCTGGAAATTTCTCGGTCGGTACTCGCGAAGAAGTCCTCGAAGAACTGGTATGTCGAGGTGCAGCCAGCGTTTTTCAGCGCCTCCAGACTGGCATAGATGCGAATACGACGTGCTTCCTCTGCCTGCTTTTCAGCCTTCTTCAAATCCTCTGCTGCTTTCTCCGCCGCTGCCTCCGCAAGTTTCTGCTGCATTAGCCGACTTTCCGCTGCAATCTCTTCCTGGGTCGGCTCCGTATCATCCGCTTTTCGACGCTTAGATCTGCCAGAAGTGGAGGGTCGACCCCTCCTCTTTGGGGTGGGGAGGAACACCGGGTTGGGACCGGAGGACGGCTGCTCTACGGGCTGAGGCGAAGGAGTTTCCCGGTCAGGAATCAGGGGTTGTCGCGGAGTGGTGAGGTTAGCCATCGCAGGGCTTGACAAGGCATTGATACTCTGCTGCTCAGGGAATGTTTCGAGGAGCAGAAAGGCCGTGAAAAGTGCCCAGATTCGCATGTCGCGTCGGTATTGATCCCCACAAGAATTTTGCTCCTGTGCAATATTTAGTGCCGAATTCCTGGATCTCTGCACAGGGGACACACCCTGCAGGTTATTAGAAACTTTCTGTCTCCTCAGATTGTGTTTCCAGCCAGTGCCGTTGGAGTCGGTCAAACAAATCGTCGAAATTTTTCTAAGTCCCGTTTATTCATCACGTGCTGATTCTAATGGCCGGTTTCCGTACTAAGTTCGCCCAGTCTCTATGTTCGAGTAACGCCGAACGCTTTTTTTTTTCTCCCTCAATTTTGCTCCAATTCACTTCAAATAAATTGCATACTACTACTGAGACTCGTTACTCAACATAGAGCTGGTTACGAGTCTACAACCAGTGTGCCTTGATTTTAAATTCAGTTGAATTTCAACCTACCACTCAAGTAGGTTTGAAGTTGATATGACTCTCACGTTGTCCGAACAAAAGCATTTAAGGTGGGTGCAGATTGTGTAAAAAGTAATTGATCTCCTTGTCAAACATGGAGGAGAACAGAGTTGAGATCCATCACACCGGGGTCCAGACTTGAATCGTCATACACAGAAACCAATGTGTGATGTTCTAGCACACAGGTGTTTTTGCAAGCGTTGGAGATCATAGTGGTTCTATTCTCGTTCCGCAACCTTTCTACCCCGTAGTCCTCTGCTAGGCTCATGACCAGCCTGCTACTACGGCAACGCTGAGTGCAAGCACTATGCCATAGGCACGCTGGCACTTCTCGTTTTAGGTCCAAGGGCTGAGCTGGAGTTGAAAAAATTTCCCCGAAGCTGGATTTTGCTCAATTCAATGGGTTTTCAAGTACTTTCCTGAAAATCGGTAATCTACACCCCTCAATCTTGATTTCTGTCACTTCAGAATATTTTTATTCCCCAGAGGAAGAGCTGTAAAAGGCTCAAATTTGGCGGCGAATTGATGGCTAGGCACTGATTGGCTCCTGCCAAAGAATTCAAACTCCGACCCAGCCCTTTGGCGTGGACCGAGAAGTACCAGCCTGCCTACAGCAACATCTTTACACTTCCATAATGGCAGGCTGGTTACGAGCCTAGTCCTCTGCCAGATGACATCCCAAAGTACTACCTCGCTCCTTCAAAGGATACAAGAACCCAGACCGGTAACCACCTACGAGAGTTCCTGCTGATAACCGGTGTCGAAGTGCTGACCAAGGAGTCAAGTATAAGAGACAGAGCTTTGCAGATGACGAGCACAAAGAGGCAGAACCTGAGTCAACAAGAGAGACTGAAGCTAGACAAGCTTAGTCACACACAAGTCCAGAAAGGCCAGAGTATAGATAAGGTAAAATCTACTGTACAGGACATTCTACTATTACTTATATACTGTATCGTAAAGGGGGCCGATCTTAGGAACACCTGTCGTCCTGACACCAAGGGGCAAATCATGGCTTTCAGCGTAAAGGAGTGTACCAAGGCAACACCAATACCTGTTGCCTATGATTGATGTGCTGCCAACGGAAAGGAGTCGATCATTGTATATGATTCAGTTGTCGGACACAAATGAGTGTTGTCTGACCCTAAGTCGAACCCCGGACCTAACAGTTCATCCTCGGGGTGTCGTGATAATGCGAGCATTGGCAGCCTGTGGCAATGCGAGGATTATGCTGTTGTGTCGAGAAGTCGATGTCAATAGGAATATCTGAGGATGGACTGCTGAGTGATATCCTATGTCCTAGAGTCTGAGAGCGATGTCAACGTGTTGAGTAGAATGATGTGTGAGAATATCCTGAGCGGAAGTAAATAATGATTTGCTGAAGTTTGAAATCAGGAATGAAAGGCAGCTTGCACCGAATAGTACATCGTGATCTGTGCCTGATCATGACATTCTCTTTGGATCCCCTTTGTTGGGTATACTTAGTGCCCTTCCTACATGTTAGTCTACTTGATTTATATACTTTAGATATCCCTTGCTACGACTCTTGAGTATTTATGGGCCTCAAAAATTGCCCTTACACTGTTGGTAAAACAGATGACAGGTGGTACAGCTGGTAGTATCACCTGAAGTGCACAGGTGATTGCTGGGACTTTCTGCAGATCGTGCAACATGAGGTGTAGATACATGGGGGGTCAGCCAGATGGGTCTAAGGTAACACCTGATGTGTTACAGCTCTTGTCATCCCCAACAGGAAGGGAGTGATCAAAGGAGAAAAAACACTGTGAGGTGGATGCCCTCAACGGGAGTCGAACCCATATCATCCTTATAGCCATTCTACGGGATTATACATAAGAAGGCAAGGGGGATCTACCACTGATCCATGAGGGCGATGTTGTTCTGCGGTTTTTATTCACCGCATCGACACATTTTTTCCGTCACACCTCTTTGTATTGCTATCGGCAATTATAAGTCCTTCATTGATATTACATAGTGCACTATGTATATGGTAGTAGCACTGAAGCCCACTGTCGATATGAACAGTCATTCACTTTTATCACTTGCTGGAAAGCATTTGGGGGTTTAATGTTTTAATGGGATCTCTTGTAAAACTTCCCAGTGTAAGAGTGATCTGTGGTTGACACAAATGAAAAGACACTGCTTACACATGGAAGGCATAGACTTGAGTAACAGGTTTACTCAAGCCCTAGTATATGAATAGTGCACACTAAAAATACAAAATATAAGAAGGTATCACATGCCTAACGAGAAAGATTTGAGGACACCCATGTTAGGTGATATTGTAGATATAGGTAGCTACTATACAGATGCATGTGACCAGAGTGATTGGTAGAGATCCCAGGCTTGATCACGTACACGGTGCCATTGGGAGGCGATAGGCCGACCAGACCGGCATGAAATAGGGGTTCCCCGAACAACGGCAATCACTCCAAAAAAAAAGTGCTTTCTGGACTCCTGATTACGGTTCTGAAACCAGATGTATCAGTAGCAAAATAAAGAGTGTTGATACAGTACCTAATATAAAAAGTTTTTGACAGGGTGATTTTGTTGCTGAAACGGGGATGACGGTGTAGGTTGGGGGTTGTGTGAGTGATTCCTCATTTGAGAGGAGTGAATAGAATCCTACTTTATAGATGAGTTGACTACTCGAGCTTACCTGACATTAACATCATTCATTATCCAAATTTTCCTTTCTTTTTATTCCTTTGATGCTTGCAGCCACGTAAACACCTTTGCCTTGTACAGCACCTACCGGTCATGATTAAAGCACACTACCAGTGCCTTCATCAGAATGAACTATATATGAATAGCTAAAAACACTCTGATCTACCAACTGCAGTTCAGGGATAAGCCTTTTTGCTGTTGCTCTGACCTACTTAAGTATGGTCCAACTGCTCACCCTGGAACCAAGAGCACTTAGAGTTAATAAAGGGAGAAGAATCTCCCCTTGTGTCAACTCAAGAAGCAGCACATGCACGGAAACAGATCTTATGTAGTGGAACCCTATATAAAGTGAGAGAAAGCTCGAAGGCAGTGTACCTTTGAAACACTAGCTTGGTTACCAGGATATCAGACTTAAATAGACCAGGACGGTGAGGTCTGTAGCGTGAGAAGAGTGCTGCAGATTCAAGCAACGTCCACAAGGACAAGTGTGTGCGAAATCTCATGGGGAATGTTTCCTTTTTCTATGTGCAATCCATTGGGCAGAGTGAAGTTACCTGCAGCAGTCGAGATAGAAGGGTATATCACAGTGTAGAATTACCCTGTGAGAAGAGCCGGGAACCATCCACATATAACATGGTGCAGAACATAATGTGCACCTCAACACGTCCCGCTTGTTGGTCTCCACATCTTTAAACCAGTGAATGTTCAAGATCCGTGATCATGGGAATATTAAGCCAATCCTGTGGAGTACATGATGAACACAACAAAGACGGGGGGCATTGGGGGACAGATTACACTGCCTCAAATGCCCTATATAAGCGGGAGGTGCTGAGCAATTCCCACAACTTTCTGAAATGCCTTGCCAGGATCCTGCTACTGAAGCTCACATCCATAAACTCACCACTTATCTTGTCCCTGCAGTAACATTGCTTGAGGAGCTCAATGATGCTTTTGGACCCCCACTTATTCAGCCAATTGTTAAGACTGTTTAAGCTCTGATTGCTGGAGTTCAGGTATGAACACAAGGAAAATAAGCATCATAGGGACTGACAAAGGGACATAGAAGGTCAAAAGAAACAAGGATGACTGCTTTCAACTGGTGGAAAGCATCCATCAAGTTCTCTATCCAATGATCCATTTGCATCTGAAGTCTGAAACTGCCGGGTCCCTTCTGCCATCATTTCTTGACAAAATTGCAGAGTTCACAGTGTGAGTTGAGCCTAGATTGTTACCAGAGGGATCTCATGGCAAAATAATTCCTCCTAGCACTCTACACAAGATATACACATTTATTGAGATTCAACAGGATGGAAACAAGATCAGACAGTTTTTTCGGCAGAGTGAAGTCAATAAACTGCTCAAAGACTGCCACACAGGATTGGACCAGGCCATTGAGAGCTTTAAGGTATAATGATATTTCCGTGATATTTGGCATACATTTTCAACCCTGCATTCAGGTTCAGAACAGATTCACAATGTTGAACAATGTTATGCAGATACAACATGAAGCAGAGACAATGCACAAGGCCTTATTCAAGATCATTGAAACCCTTTCCGATGGTACAATATCTGATAGGTCCTCATCGGTAAGGATATTTGTTATTGATCCACAAGCACAAAAGTGAATTCAATTCAACTAGGTGTTTTACAAGAAGACCAATGGTTCTCAACTCAGGTGAGACAATTTCCCTCTGACAATTCTGAGTTGAAATAACATCTTTGAAGCTCCAGCTCGTTCTCCTTGTTCCCCTCCAAACCCAAGATTTTCCATGGTCGAGACTCTGAACTGAAGCACATTATGGAAGTCCTGTCCAAGAATGAACCCAGGATAGCCATTCTGGGAGGAGGAGGCATGGGCAAGACATCCCTCGCAAGGGCTGCGCTGAATCACACAGATACCCGCACCAAGTTTGTGCGGAGGCAGCAACCACAGCAGTTGAACTGGCTGCACTAATTGGCCTCCATCTTGGATTGGAACCCGGGAAAGACCTTACCAAGCCTGTAGTCCGATACTTTGCACGGAAGACAACACTGTGTCTCCTAATTCTGGACAATTTGGAAACACCATGGGAGCCCATCCAGTTGCGTGGTGGAGTGGAGAAATTCCTCTCTCTGCTGGCTGATGTGGAACATCTTGCACTCATGGTAGGCCCTCTCTAAATTCATCACGTTATGATGTTGACTAGAAAACAGATCACTATGCGGGGCTCAGAGCGACCAGGCCAGGTTCTCTGGACACCACCCTTTTTGCGGCCTCTGCAACCATTATCAGATGAACCTTCTCAGCAAATATTTAAACCAATAACTGATGATTCACATGTCAGCAAGGAGAGGACTCAAGTTCTGGCATTTACAGAGAACATGGCTCTAGCTGTTGATCTCATGGCCCATTTGGTGGACCATGAAGGCATCGACAATGTGTTAACTCGCTGGAAGGCTGAGAAGACTGCTGCCCTTTTTACAGGCCATCATAGGACCTCCAATCTTGATGCATCAATTGCACTCTCATATTCCAGCCCACAAATCACACCTGGAGCTAGAGAGCTGCTTCGCCTGCGCTCAATTCTCCCAGATAGACTGTCGGATACAGAACTCACACACAGCAATCTTCCTATTGGCAATATCCAGGCGTGCAAATCTGTTGATTGCAACTTCATTGGCATACAAGGACACCAAGAGCCGACTCCGATCCCTTGTGCCTATAAGAGAGCACATCCAGCAGTTTTCCCCTCCCTCTGAAACCCTGGTACAAGCTATTTGGAAGTCTTTTCATCACCTTCTGGCTCGGTATCAGAAGCACAAGGACACACGTCTGAGGGTTATTCTGCCACAGATAACTGCTAATCTTGCCAACCTGGAGGAGGTTCTGCAACATGGATTACACCCAGGGTCCCCCAATCTTTTTGAGACAATACAATGTGTTCTCTCTTTGAGCTCATTCTTTCGGATAACCAGGGATCATCGAACGGTGCTGCTGGACAGGACCCCAACTTCCCTGTGTGACCACCGAATGAAGGTACTTCACATCACTGAGTGTTTGTGGTTTCCCCTGGGAGATACTCAACAATTAGTGACTCAAGGCATATCCCACCTTCAACACCTTTATGATCCAATGCTTGAGGGTCGGTTCCCACATTCATTGTCCTTGCAATGTTGCTCACATATATCACCAGTTGGTTCTATACAGCAGCTGGAACAACTTATTTCAACTCTCAACCCAATTCTCAACATTTGAAATTTCTGGAGAAGGCGCTGGCATTATCAAGGTCCATCGGGAATAGTGAGGGGCAGTGCCTGGCCCTGACACGCATGGCTGATTTCAAATGGCGGATTGGAGACTTCAAAAGTTCCTTGACCATCAGCAAAGAGGGACACCAATTGGCTTATCAAACTGCAAATCTATATCAGGTCTCTGTAGCAATGCACATGACTGCGCGATCTTTGACTGTTCTCGGTGACTACACAGGTGCTCTTACTCAGCTCACTAGGGCCAGAGAATTACTCAGCCTGTGTGGCATTACTGGTGGTCAGTTACATTACATCTTGAATTTTCAAGCAGAGATTCACTTGCAAAAATCGGAATATGCTGAGGCCAGAAGTATTTATGCTATAATATTACAAGACGATCTGCTTGATCCAAGTTCTTATCTCTATGGTTTAGCACTCCTGAATTTTTCACTGATCAGTGTACTCATTGGTGCCACCACTGACACTGTGCACCTCAATTTGGACCGAGCCCAAGAAATATTCACTGGCGGGAAACACGAGTTGGGCACTGTGTGGTGCACAATAATCTTGGCAGACCTCAACTTAACAGACGGGAATGAAGCATCAGCAAAAACTCAATTTCAGAATTGCCTCAAGTCAGCCTGGGCTACATCTGCTGAGGTGGTGTCATATTGCCTGAAGAGACTTGCTGATATCTCAAGGTGGCCAATTGAGCTTAGGCAGGCAACAGGGCCGGTACTTTACTTATGCAGTGCACACATATCCAGAGAGAAACTTGCATTTTACACGGCACTACTCTTCATTGGAGATCTATTCATTGGTATGGATGAGGCTACAGCTGAGAACCTCTTCATTGTTGCTCTAGAGGGATTCACTTTCATGCATGTTCACCGAAGTCGAGCTCAGAGTATGTTGCGTCTTGGGGATCTCGCACAGAAGAGAGGGGAAACAACTAGAGTTATGGACTTCTGCTCGAC